CTCCTTCGGTCTCGCCGACCCCCTCTTGACCTTCCCCTGGACCCAAGGGTGTGCCATGCAAATTTTGGCTGCTTTAGCTCTTACAGGGACTGAATGCATAGAGAACAAACAAACAAACAAACAAACATACAAACAAACTTTCTTCTTTATATATATAGATTGTTAAATACATATTTCTATTCTCTTATCCTATTTAGAAGGTCATTTTAATTTGGCAATTAAAATGATGTTTAACTATGGTATTCAATCAAATAGTGAATCTCTATTAAAAGTAATGGATAAAGAACTATTACCATTAAAAGAAATTCAACATCCAAATATAGTTCGAATCTATTCTTATTTTGTCGATAATTTTCCATTGTTGCCTGAATCATATGACTATTATCCAATGGCAATACCCAGTAAATATGGACCAGATGGTTATGGAAGAAATAAAACATTATTCATTGTTATGAAACGGTATACTACGATTTGAATTTTAAAAATAAAATGTACATTTTTATTTGAATATTTAAAATTTAGGATAATTGTTTTGTTTTTAATGTTAGGTAATAATTTTTGTAGAAAAATAATTGAGATAATAGGTGATTTGAATATTTTACATTTATTTATATCATAAATGTCTTGAAAATGGTGTTTGAAACAGTGAAGCATCGACATTTATGATATAAATAAATGTAAAATATTCAAAGTTACTGTCATCCATCTCTAACTCAACTGTATTTGTACTAAATAATTTTGTTTTGCGAGTGAAAATTGGTTGCAAAATAAATTTCTTCAGTACAAAACAAAGTCAAGTTTAAATATCAAAATCTTTAATCGTACTCAATTTTTCACGTAAATCATGGAAAATTTTGATAATGAAATTGTCTTTTCTCTCTATACACTACAAATTTTATTAACGAATTATTTTGGCAATATTTTTCTTAGAAAAACGTTATAAAAAAGGCAGTCTCAACGACTGCACGTATAGTAAGAGACAGTTTCAAACGTCTAAGTCTTGAGCTTTTCTCTAACGAAAAAAGTGGTTATTGTAAAACAAATTTATTCAACGTACATTTTGTTTTTTCTCACTTAGATATGATATGACAATAACCGAATATTTGAAAGAAAAAGAGCCTTCTCTTGACGATCGTCTTTTATTAATGTCACAAATATTTGAAGCATTGTTATATTTAAATCAACAATCGATTGTACATCGGGATTTAAAATCGGACAATATCTTAATATGCAGTGAAACAGGTATAGCTTATCTCATCATTCTCATTATACTATCTTTTATTATGTGTATTTCTTTCTGGTTTTTTTTTTTGTTTCTAGGTGAATTAGTTTTGGCTGATTTTGGTTGTGCATTAAAATGTCCATCATTATTAGTTCCATATTTAACAGATGAAACAATGAAAGGAGGAAATTTAGCACTCATGGCTCCAGAAGTATATTTATTTGCTATTTAATATATATCAGTATTCAATATGTCCTAAATATCAATTTTTAAGATTAGAATAAGTGTCTCTCGTTTTATTTATTTCAAAAAATCGTATCTACAACTGTATACTTGTTTTATAGAGAGAAAAAGAAAAACAATACGTTACTACTTGTGTTTGAGAACATCATTTCATTTTTTTAACGACTTCTTATCCTTACTTATTTTTCAGAATCTCTTGTTCTACAAGCTTCTTTATCAATAATCGAGTTTTTATCGAATTGTATTAATTATACTCTTTTTTACATTTAACGTCTATATACGAGTTTTCAATCATACATATTTTATTTAGATTTTATTGTGTCAACCTGGTCGCTCGTCCTATCTGGATTATCGTAAATCTGATTTGTGGTCATCTGGCACAATATGTTATGAACTATTCGATCAGATAAATCCATTTTTTAATGGTCATTTAAGAAATGATACATATACCGACAGACAATTACCAGAAATACAAAACATACCGTCGACTATTGAAAAATTTATACATTCAATATTAAAGAAAAATCATAAACAAGTATGTATATACTGCAGTACATTTTCGTAAAATACAATACTTTTTGTTGAATTAAATGATTACTAACTTAAAAATAGAATTTTGATCATCAGATTGTGATCAGAACCCAAGAGATTATTCAGTTCTCAGTCAATATACAACATATAAAAATGTTTACAGTGTGAAGATAAAACAACATATTTACAAATGAAAAACTGTGCTTTTTTAAACGTTTTTATCTTTTTATTTTGCTAATGGTTGAGAACGTGTTCTACCACTAACTTGAATAAAATAACTAATTCAATTGTTGGCTTAATGAGATCGTTTCTCATTGTTTATCAGTGGCCTATGTTCAATAATTTTCTAATATGGCAACAATTCTGTTGGTTAGAGGTACCATTACAGTACGGCACGTGTCCAATTGATATGAACCATTGTTCGTACCAAGCCAACGATTGAATAGTTATTTTATTCAAGTTAGTGATAGAACACGTTTTCAACCATTAGCAAAATAAAAAGATAAAAATGCTCAAAAAAGCACAGCTTTTCATTTGTAAATATGTTGTTTTTTCTTCACATTGTACATATTTTTGGATTTTGATATTTTCAACTCGAGTTGTTTGAATTAAATAAATTTTGTTTTACAATCACTTTTTCATTACAGAAAAGTTCAAGTCTTGGAAACTGGAACTGACTCATAGAGAAATTGTGACAATGAATTTGTCTTTTTTCTGTTAAGCGTCAGGACGACGATTAGTAAGTGGATGGATGATCGCCACTCAAGATCGAATCACCGAATTATTTCGTTAACGTCTGACGTATATATGCTCAACTTTGTTGAGAGAAAAGTTACAGAAAAACAATCTCGAGGGCTGCATGCGCAGTAAAGACCAGTTTAAGTTTACAAGACATGATAGAGCTTTTTTGTAATGAAAAAGCGATTGTTAAATGAATGTTTTTGGATATTGTATGTTGATTGAGAAATGAATAATCTTCTGGATTCTGATCACAGTCTGGTGATCAAAAGTATCGTCCTGAAAAATTCATATCTAATTTAAATTTAAAAAAAAAGAGCTTCATCAACCAACAATTTTTATAGTTTTCATCTGTAAACATATGATAAAAGATGTGAAGTAGAAGGATGAACAAAACTAACTCTCTATTGTGTTTTAAAATTTTCTTTTCTTTATTACTCTATTTTAGCGTCCGCATGTGAGTGTGGTTAGCGATTCTCTTCAAATATATCTTTGGTGTTCATCGTCACGTTCGACTATTAAAGAACTTTATCAATGTTATATGTGGCAAGCAATTGAAACATTATTCAATAAAACCAAACTATCACGTGTTGAGCTCAATTTGAAAAGATTATTTTTTACTAGACAAACGTCACAAACACTAAAACAAGCACAACATTTTCTTGTTACACTTTAAAAATCACTTCATTCTATTTATGTTTCTCCTTCACTAAACAATTTTAGCATATATTCTTGCATATTGAAGTGACTTTCTTTTTGTAAATTTCTAACTGTGTTTTTGTATAAATAAAAATGAAACACAGTGGTCGATTGCCAGTAAACATTTTTTTTAAAGTTATTTTAAATTCATTAGAAATTCCATTGAAGCATTATGAATGATGTGCGGTTTTATTTGTGAAAATTAAAATATTATAGATGTTAAATGCTTGTCCTCTCTTAATAGTAAAAATGCGGAATATAATGTTTTCATAAACCTTGATGATTTAGTTCTCGTGTGATTTGTATTGCAGTACAACATGGACAAAACGTTGATGTGCAACAATCAGAACATAAAGTGCCCTAGAATACGAAAACAAAAAATATAAATTGAAAACTGAAAAAATAAAGGAGTTCACATTAGGTTGATAAACGGCCCATTTTAGTTTTTATCTAAAAACGACTTGTAGAAAAATATTTCTATTCGATTTTAAGTCATTTCGCGTACTTTTGGCGACTAAAATCCAAGTAATTCTTCGCCAATAGGCTATCCTTCAAAGATTATTTACAGATTGCGTAAAAGGTGTTTTTTTCTCATGCTTTTTTCGTGTAAACGACAAAATAAATATATGATTGGATAGCTCATGAAATTCTCTATGAAATATGTGTAGAATAACAGTTAACCGCAGTCCTTTGATAATGGTAGGATATGTAGAACAATCCTGCATATACAATATAGGAGACAGTTCTTGGTTGTGTCGTCACTTTTTCTCTCAAAAAAGAAAAGACATCATTTTGAAGCTTATGAAATTTGACTAATCTTAATTTAAATTTAAAATTTAAAACTAATATATTCTCTTATGATAGATTTCTAGAAAATCTCTGGAAATCTCAATAAGAAAATACACGCTTTTACTTCTCTGACTCTATCAACATGTAAATCAAGCAAAAGAGAGTATTTCCTGTGAATTTCAAAACATGACAAAAACACCTTTTACGTAATCTGTAACTGATCTTTGAAGAATAACCTATTAGTACCCTATTGGCGAGGAATCACTTATATTTTAGTCACCAAAAGCACGTGAAATGACTTAAAATCAAATAAAAATATTTTTCTACTACTTAATAAGTCATTGTCAGGAAAAAACTAAAATGGACCATTTATTAACCTTATGCGAAACCCTTCATTCAGAAAATTTTTAAAATGCCAACATGGATCGACTTTTTATCCAATACGGGAGTGTTTTTTCTTTTTCATTAATAATTGAATGTGAAATACTTACTTCAATTCTAAATGCTGTTCGTATTTTCGACCTTAATGCATACGTCGATCCAGGACACATGAATGTGCAAAGATTTTCACCAGAACGTTTATGCATTTTACATTCATAACAGCAGCAACAAAAAAATGCAAAACAACCTTAAAAAAATATATGTGAAATAGAGAAAAATGTCGACCACATCAAAAAACATTGTTACACATCCTTAGTGATATCGTTCAGGATAATCTGATGTACTTACATTCTTTCATATTTGTACAACACGACCATAATGAGTATGCCCATCGATGTTCAAATGCCCAAACATTGTGACCAGGTTGAGTTGTAACGACTTTTCTAGAATATAATGAAACGTTAATTAAACTGGTTACTAACATATTTAAATCTGTATATCTCTGACAGAATGAAAAATTATAATTCAGTCTAAATCATTATGATCTATATTTGTACAGAAAATAGGTGCTGTATCTATCCTGTTGTACATTAACAATATTCAAACTTTTCTCATTTACCAGAAAATCGATAAGCAATTTCTAAAAAGTTGGAAAATCGATTGATTTTCTATAAATAACTTCCAACATTATAGAAAATCGGCTCGATTTTCCAGATTCTAGAAAATCAAAATCGATTTTCTATAAATAAATCCCAACATTCTTGAAATTCGACAGCGACTTTCTAAATAGTTGGAAAATTGAATTCGATTTTCTAAGAAGACGAATCGGTGATTGTTTTCTTGCTTCTTTCACATCTCTTAAAGCCTACATTGCAACAAGTTGTCCTATAACAGATCTCTGCTCGTTTTAGTATTTAACATCGGAAATATTAGTAGATCCGGAAAGTTCTCTCGGTTTTTGCAAATCAGCACATTCTTCAAGAAGTATTGTTGTTGTATGACACTTAGAGATCATAAAGAGGTACTGAAAAGGTTCTTGGGTTTGGCCTGATTAAGACAAAGTGGAATTTCGCCGCAATTTTCTGAAGATTCCAAAGTGATTCGCTTTTGCTAATATTCCTCATTTTTATGTCTGAATTTAGCATCTTTCAAAAATGTAGTTGGTTTTATTAACTCAAAGACATGATCCTAGCAATTCACATTTATTTTCTTTATTTTTTAAATAAAATAACAGTCGTTCAACACGTGATCAATGTCGAATTGGGTTTTCATTATTAAAAGATTCATATTGTTATCCAATAAGCTGAAATACTACACCCCACTCAACTTCGAAGTTCAATAGGTTTTATTAACGGTGAAAAAGTTTATCTTCAGCCATTTTCACTCTGCAAGTCTCTGATTATCAGCATTCTAACTCAAAATTGCTCTTCCTCATCATCTAGAAACTCCTCATAGATTTTCTAGAAAGTAGAAAATAATTCGACTTTTTGATTTTCCAAAAGTCCATATATAAAATCCCTGAGCATTTTCTATAAATAATTCCCTTTACAGTGTAGATGAAATACTTTTCTTTATTATAACAACTTTTTTTTTAAACATACATATAGATATATATGGCATATATATGATGTACATTGAAGGTGATGTTGTAGAGAGAATAGTGAGATGAGAGAAACGGCAAAGCTCGAGACGAGGGTAGCGAGTCGAGGTCGTATACTCAGCACAGACACTTTCTGTGTTCCTGGGCATTTCGAGTGAGAGAAGCTATGGGAGAACACTCAAGCAAAAGATCAGTGCATTCTCACTGAATACACCGGCAAGAAGAATTAGAAATCAAACCTGAAACGAATCGTGAAAAATTAAGAACGATTCGCATTTGCGACGCTGTTCATATCCCCTTGAATTTCGGAAGTGGTCTTATGATGGAGAGAACGCTTTGCTCGATTAGATTATATAGAAGAAAAGTCTTTGAAAGGAAAGGAGAGAAGAATTTATGAAACTAAAAGAATTAAGCTTATTGAGCCGTCTGAGCAAAAAATTTGTTAAGCTTTTTAAAAAAGGTTCAGGAAGACTGGAAGTAATCTTATTTTGTAGGTTTAGACTTTCCTCTACATTAGACTATATTGAACTCAAAATAAAAAACTTTTTTAAAAATGAGGCTAGCAGAGATGAGCAACTTCAACTCTGAAGTTGGAGTTAACTTCGGAGCTGAATTTCTTCTAGTGGAGCTGGTGTATAGAGCCCTGCAGGTTATAAAATTCCTTATAGATTAGATTGTAGGTTACGCCATTGATAACCTATTTTTAACCTAAACGAAAAAAAACGATTTTAAACAACCACATTAAAACAGTCAATATTTTGAGTAATAAAGCGTAGTCCAAGTGGAATTTTATCGATTGAGGATGAAATTCAGACTGAGATTCTCTAGTTTAAACTGAACTATTTTTAAACTGAAAAATAGCACAATCAAAAAAGGAAGTACAGAGAAAAAACTTCCATTTGCTAAAAATCGGTCGCAGATACACAACAATAACAGAATCTTCGTAGCATCGAGAGTCTAAAGTGAAATTCTGATCTACTCTTAAGAGAGTCTCCCTATTCAGAAAGCTATTTTCCAAAGATTGCATTAAATCATAAAAGATTCAATCGATTCATTTCTATATTCGTGTAAAATGTGGTTTATTTTGTATAAGCTTACCTTCCAGTCGGTGTTTAGATAAAAAAGGCACCCATTTAACTGCTAAGTAATTTAAAATAAAATCTAAGTAAAAAAACATTTTTTTCTAAGTAATTTATTGAAAATAATTATATCTCTTGAGAAGCAAGCAGAAATCGGGTTCAGTGGCTTACTCTCATGCTCTCCACGCACCCCTCCCCTCACCGCCCCCAGTCACACAAAAATATAGCTTACTAAAGTAGGAATTAACTTAGCATTTAATAAAAACTACTTAGCAGGGAAAAAATTGCAAAAGATTGTATTAGGTTAACCTAGGTTAGGTTACGAAAAATATTAATAGGTTAGATTAGGTTTAGGTTACGAGTTTCATAGGTTAGATTAAGTTTAGGTTGTGAACATTTGTATAGGTTAGGTTATAGGTTGTCAAAAGTCGCAACCTGCAGGGCTCTACTGGCGTAGTGTTTAGTCTAGGTTTTCTCAACCCCAATTGGTTCAAAATTCTTATAACTTCGACATTTCTGTTGCTTATTTTATTACACCACATCAAATTTTTTCGTTCTATAACGCAACGTCACCATGTAGTCAACGTTTGTATAACCTGCATGTATGAAACGTCATTTCCTCAACAAGACGGAAAAAGTACTTATCGAAATTGAAACAAAATTGGAGTTCGAGTTGGGAGTTGAACTTTGCCAAAGTTACTCATCTCTGGAGAGCAGGACAAACTATTATCGGTTCAGAAAAACAGTGCCATCGGTTGCTTTTTGAATAACTTTTGATAGAAACCTGCGGTTTTCAGTTTTGGAAATTCGACACTTGAAGCCACATTCTCATAAGCAAAATCGATATTTGAAAAGGTTTCCGAAGTCGGTTTTTCAGAAGATCTTTGGAAAACTAGTTTGGGTCTCTGAAACCTGACATTGAAATAGGTGAAATAACTCATTTCTGATTATTTTCATCAAAAATTAAAAGATTCATAACTCAGTCAAAAAATCCATCCAGCTTACTGCAGAATGTCAAGATATACCCTATTTTATCTACAGCATACCGTAAAGCTAACTTTGCACATAATTGCATAAATTTGAAATGTACGTGATCTCAAACTCCGCATACTTTTTAATTAGCAAGTAAAACATGGACTGTAAGGAATAGAAAAATACATATACGCTTTCATATATTCTTAATTTGATTGTGATATTTCGTCCATATAGCGAAAAGCTACTGCTACGCTTCTTTATTTAAGCATAATTTAATGCTGTGTAAATAATATAAATGATGTCTGATACGACAAATGAGTAAAGCACAAGCGCCTATTCAACAGCATCATGTAAAGGTGGTTACTTTCACTATTGTAAGAATTTATATAAACACATCGGTAAAAGGGATGTATTAAATTATATAAAGAAGATTATACCGTTAAACATTGTATGAAGCGTTTATTTTCATTACCATTATTACCACTAGATACTATTAATGAAGTTTTTACGGATACGCTTGATATGTTTCCAACCGACAGACGTTTACAAAAATTTTGTGATTATATTTGTTCAACATACATCGATAATGGCTGCAGATATTTAAGACAATTTTGGAACCTGTATGTTTGTCTTCAAAATCGGTCTAACACGAACAATTCACTGGAAAGCTATCATATAAAACAAAATAGGTAAATTGCTTCTTCTGTTCTTTTCGGTGCTAAATTCTAACTTCGTTTCCTTTCGTGCTTAGTAATATACCGTGTCATCCAAACATTTATCGATGGATTGAATCGATAGCGGATGAAGACGGGGCAGTAACTTATCACTATATGGACGAAATATCACAATCAAATTAAGAATATATGAAAGAGTATATGTATTTGTCTATTTCTTACAGTTCATGTTTTACTTGCTAATTAAAAAGTGTGCGGAGTTTGAGATCACGTACATTTCAAATTTATGTAATTATGTGCGGAGTTTGAGATATAGACATAGTCACTTTTTATTAAAAGTGTGCGGAGTTCGGGCATGAACCAAATTTTTTTGAATGAATGACTCGAGTTAAACAGTCGAGTCAACGTCACCCAATTCTCGAGCAAGAGTCAAGTCAGAGTCTTTAAACAAATGTGACTCGAATCACGAGTCAGACTCGCCCAGTCCTGGGATGAATTTTGACTAAATTATGAATGTTTTAATTTTTTGATGAAAATAATCAAAAATGGATTATTTCGCCTAGTATAGGTATTCACTCGGTTGTTGCATTTTGTTCTGAAAACTAACATTGCCACGAGACTCAGAATAGTCGATGACCTATGTTTTCATTGATTTCTGGCAGATGAGTGCTAAGGCCTCATCAACCTAATGGCAGATGGGTGCTAAGGCTTCAGGGAAAACGTTCGTAGCTCCCGAATCATGGATTTTCAAGATGTCGCTTGAATGCAGTTTTGTAGTGAACACATCGGACTATATATCTATCAAAAAGAAATGACCTATTTCTATGTCAAGCTTCAGGGATCCGAACTAGTTTTCCAAAGATCTTCTGAAAAACCGACTTCGGAAACCTTTTCAAATATCGATTTTGCTTATGAGAATGTGGCTTCAAGTGTCGAATTTCCAAAACTGAAAATCGCAGGTTTCTATCAAAAGTTATTCAAAAAGCAACCGATGGCACTGTTTTTCTGGACCGATAATAGTTCTATTTGAAATAGTACAAAATTAACGCTTCTATATTTGCGTATCATGTGAGCGAACCGTATTTACGTGTAAACAATTATAATCATATTTTTAAATCAAATGAAATTTTTTTTATAGTATCTGTCATATTTTTGTAAGATTTTGTGATTTTCGTTTTATGTACTCTAAAAGTGAACTATTTGTTTTTTTAGAGCATCTCTGTTTTATTACAAGTATTTTTTTTTTGAAAATAGTCATGAATTTGTAAATATTCAATTGAAGTGTTCTTTTTGAAACATATTGATAGAACTCACCCACACATAATAGAGTTGAAAGAAGAAAACGTTAGAATACTTAATAATGAATTATGTTGAAAACCCAAAAAAACAACCAAATTTCTTATAAATTTGAATTAAATACTTCTAGATAACGGTTGCAATTAGTTAGATCATGGGTTAATATTAATTTAACGAGTATCAGAGCAATTTCTACCGCAAGAAAGTTACCCAAAACGGGAATTAATTATTCAAAATTTTAACGAGTTAATAATTATGAGGGATTAATGATAATCAAAAAAATTTTGTTTTTTTGTTACGTAATCTTACTAACAGATGCCACAATTCTCAAAAAATGTGTCTACATATGTTGTTATGTAGAAACTGCTCTAAGGCGCGTTGAAAAATGTTCAAAATTCCAAATTATTCAAACTCGTTCATTGGAAATTTTTCTAAATTATCCTTCAACATATTATATGCCTTGTTTTATCCATTTTTCCTTCAAATCATTCAAATTTGGAAGTTAGTTAATTTACGCGTCGTGGGGGATCGATATCTAAAAGACTAACCTACTCATGTAATAAATATGAATCGAAAGAAAAATAAGCCGTCGACAAATGAATTCATTTAAACGCGTAAAATTGAAGAACAGAAGAATGAAGAAAGAATAAAAGAGAAATGCCCCCAGTAAAAACATTGTTTTTTGGAATCTAGCTTAAAACTAGATTTTTGGAACATTTTATCTAGTCCAAACCGGGTACGAGCTAGATAAAATGTTCCAAAACAAGAAAACATTCAACGTAAAATAATTCATCAATAAAGTATTCATGAAACTAAATAATTGAAATGTTTTTACATTTTCACGAGTTTAGTATATATTTTTTTCTTACACATTTGATCGCTAATATTATCTAGCGAGAAAGAAAAAATAAAATGAATGTTTTTTGTCATAATGATTAAAAAGTAGAGTTACAAAATAAAACCTTATACGAAAAACTGCTATTTTTTCAAGAATATATCGATGTTGATATATGATCATCAAAATCTTTATACCTAGTACAAAGATCTACAAATTTCAAGTTTGTGATCTGTTACTTACACATTTGCCATTTGTTGCCGTTGTTGCATTTGTTTATCAGTTAATGAATAATCTGGTGTGTCATGAATTCGTTCTAAATAAATGATTAACAATTTACATCAATGATTTATTAATTGCTAAGAGAATAATTTAAATCATAGATCTGACTTTTCTTTTTTTTTCTCTATACATTGCTGAACTTATTATTCGCTTTTCCTCTTTTCAAATTTCTATTCATTGCTCAGCAATTGATGATGATCAGAGAAAATATATATAATGGAAAAATATTTTATATTTCCGTTTTTTTCATCGTTTGTTAAAAAGAACATCATGGGAGGATGAAAATTGTGTTTTAATTTAAATAAAAATTTTATTCTGATAACGTGAGAAATAGAATTTTGATTTATTTTTGTAAATGAAAAAATTTGGTTCGTATTCTTACTAGAAGCAAACAACTAAAAGACAAATATAATCAAAACAACGGAAAATTACACTACTAGCAACGCTCTTGATGTCTCGTATATATAACATACGCTCAATAATCTCAATATTTTACAGAAAATTTAGTTGAATGTAGCATAATATACATACCCTGATTTCTATATCCTCCATAAGTCGACATTCTAAAATAACAATAAAAGAGAATTATTTCATAAATAATTCTAATTTAAAATTTAACTTTTTATTATTTTGTGTCTAAAAGCTTTTTACTGTGAATTTTTTGACAAACATAATGCATATATGAGAAATGCTCTATGGCTGCATAACGTGTCAGATTAATTAAAAAAGTAAATTGGAAAAGAATCCCATTTTATTGACTTATTGTAGTTGTCGTTCGTTTATGTTTTCACAGGCCGTAATTGGTGCAGAGATTTAAGTAATCGACAGAAATAAGTCAGAAAAAGCAAAGCTCCTTCTATTTTATTGATAACTTGTTGCTAGAAGATCAAGCACGATTGAAAAGATGTGGTCAAAAAACAGAAGTAGACTAATAATGTTAGTTTGCTAGGTCAAGCGTTTTATGAAGCAGATAATAGAACTATCCATGTATTCTGTGATTCTAGACAGAGTCAGTTTCCGCTAAAATTTGAGCAAACAACGGTATGGTACATTACAATATCAAGGCTCCATCAGATACAATCGTACAATAAACTAAAAATTCATATGAAAAGTACTTAGACTATAATGATCATTTCATATGCAAAATTTTGTTGATAAGTCAGACTTTCATCGGCAGGCTTTCAGAGTTTTTCGATGACGAGAGAATCTTATAGGCAAACAAGATGAGAGAAAGTATATGACTGTAGCAAGAATAGAAACAAAGTGATATTGGCTTTCTAGACCAACTCTCTAACCTCTTCTGTTATACTCTCTGTCAAGTGCATAATTTTTCTGGCTTATATTTTCGTTTCTTTTGTTTGCCTCTCAGATTTTCTCTCCATCGTAAAAGTATGTACATTAATTGACATACAAGTCTTATTTCACTCTCTAACATCACTAACTGCACGTTGCTTCATAAAAATTGTTAGACTTTTTGGCGAACTAAAACTAAGTTGATGTGAAAAAATAATATATTAAATTATAAGTGAATTAAATGAATATGTGAGATAACTTTGAATAGTAGAAGTTTGAAACTGTAATAAAGAAACCGATTTAAAAATAGAAAGAAAGAGAAATAGAACGATAGCTAATAAATTAAATAAAATATACTGTATGAGGTATTAAAGCTTACCAGATTTGAGTGAACGATAGTATGCTAACAACATTATCAGTCCCTCACACACTCTGGTATCTTCTTTCTTCAAAGATTCGTGGTTTATTCTATCTCTCAATCGGACGTTGATTGTATAACACAGTAAATATCATGAGACTGCCAAAACCTAATGAAAATGATACAATCCATAACAGATTTTTTTTCTATAGATCTAAATGTGTCATTCTTCACCGATTAACGTGTAATATCTGTGAGAACACGAACTCGATTAATTAATATTTTAAGTGCATCAAAACAAAATATTGAATTCTATAATAACTGAGTTACATTTAATAGAGAAAAATACACTATTCAATGACATTGTTTTTCCAGATTTTAACATATGGATAACAGTACAGTAGATTTCGTTGAAATTAAAATTTCACATCAAACACAAACTCTCTCTAGCTCGTGTATCTCTCTTGTTAAATAGTTTTACGACATTACTTACTTTTTTTCTATATAGGTTAGTTAATTTATCGTTTGAAGAAAAAAAAAAAGTTAAGTTGTGCTTATAAAACGATCTTTATTATTAAATGCATATATTGATCGTTTTTCTTTTTATATATATTTAATCGTGCTAAATCTTTTTTTTTTTTACTCTTTTCTCTAATAAATATTATATATTCGATTGCTCTGGCAACGTGACAACACATTTTCATGTACATATGATGATCATGATTATAATGAGTATTTTGCTAAGAATATTGTTAAAAAGAAATATATTTTTCTTTACTCTAACATCTCTGACAAAAAAAAAGAAGAATAACGAAAGAAAAACAAAGAAAAAATTGGACAACTTAATAATAAATGAAAAACTCAAAATGAACAGTTTTGATACCATGAGAAACCAGCGTAGAGCAATTAAATGTTGTTTTCGGATTTAAGATTGAAGGACAATCTCAATCCCTTTTTTCAAAAATTCACAAATACTAAATTTGATTAAAATTTCAATTTCAAGTTTTAATTCGGTTCATAACTCTGTTAAGTAAACTATCATTTTACACATACTGTAATAGTGTTTACATTCAAAAAACAGAATCTTTCCACTTTTTCAAGTAAATTTTCTCTTTTTTTACATATCTGAGAGTAACAATTAAAGCAATTTTTTATACATTGGCTCTGGGATTATTTACAATTTTTGATATTTCAAACCATAGGCTATACTTAGCTTCACCATAATAAATGAATGAGTTGAATGCTAAGAGTGGTAATGACATGATGACATTCAAGAAACACCCACGTGTCTGATTTCGTTATTAATGACGATTTTCGGCGATAAACACAGCGAAGCCAAAAAGTAGTAACCATAATGACTGATTAAACATCTTGAACCACTAAGCGATGAGAACGAGATAAAAATATCATTTTAAGGCCCCCTTCGGACCCCCTGGATCAGAAATGCCGATGTTCGTCAAAAATAGCGATTTTGAGGGAAAAGCACATGGTTGTATAGCCCAGGGTGTCTACTTTCTAATGGCATAATTTCTGTGTCGATAGGATACGTTTTTCATAGGTTTTGAGCGAGTTTTCCAGAACCACTATAGCACAAAAAATGGCTTTTTTACACTTCTGTTGCGTAAGCGCACGTATGTACCGCACATATCCATGCACATGTTCACCAGATGCGTCATGACCGATAACCTCTAGGAAAGTATCAATAAATTATTCTACACTCAAACAGTTTTTAAGTAAAACGCATTTAACAGAATCAAACTTATTTTGTGTTTTTAGAAGAGAAGTAATAAAATTTAAATTTTGTGATGAATTGCTTTACTGAATTTATCCTACTATCGATCATCTGCTAATCGTTTCATAACAAAGTATGCTCTTAAAAAAAAGGTAATACATGTAACTTTGGAAGTGCAGACATTCATTTCCAGTTCTAATCAATTGAAGGATTTCAAACTAAAAAAAAATTTCTTATGACATTGTTTTTGTTAATGTGCTTCTTCGAGGAAATTATTAGGTTTCATGTCTCTCTCAATTCTAAGAGCGGATGTTATTTCTACTTGAGAGAAAAAGGGTAGCTTCATTGGGTCGTTCATTTTTCTTATTATCTAGCGTCTCAATTCTCCTTCTAGGAGATTTAGAGACAACTCTGTTCTAAAGTCCATGCTGAAAATTCTTGAGAATATGCAGTCGTCTATGATAAACACAGCGGTCTTTTCGGAATTTGATAGAAATACTTTGTTCGTTAAAATTGGTTATTTTTTCTAATTACTACTCTATTTACTTCCTAATCAAAACTGACTATTCCAGAATTTCAGCATGTACTTCGTTTGGTCTGCTGAATCTCGTCCCACAATTAGAAGTTCAAAAAACACCTTTTCTTATTTCCAAAGATGCTGGAAAATCTGTTAAAAGCCAGAGCACTTTCTATCCTTTTTTAAAACTTTTGCTGAAATACAAAATCTACAGCAGATAAAACAGCGTACATGTTGACATTCTGGAATAGTCAGGATCAGCTTTGACTGACTTATGAATTTTTTTGTTTTTGGTAAAAATAACCAAAAATGGATTATACGCCTATAGGTTCTTGAATCCTGTTGTGAAAACAAACATTGCAATGAGATTCAGCATAGGGAAAAATCTGTGTTTGGATTTAATGTTAAGGTTATCAGAGCTAATTAGACTGAGATAGGGAGGTTCCTGCAAAATCTCTAATGGCTGAGAACCATGTTTGCTAGGCACCTCGGACTGTCATTCAAAAATCGTCTATAAACTCATTATTAGACCATAAAAAGTATCATATCCTATTTAGTTCGATATCTTCCACGGGAAACAAACAATAAAATTTAGAATAGTATCGTTTTTTTAGGTACATTCTCTGGACAATCAGTTGTCTAAACGGCTTTTGGCCGGCTAGTTCTGCTACCAAACTGTAATTCTGTCATGTTTTTTTTGACATTTTGTTTCTCTGATAATTTTCAAACGATAAGACTCTCAGATGTCTCAGATTCAAGAGAAAAGTATTCTGAAGGTTTAGAGATGTTGTCACTTTACAAAACCTTTCTTTCAGACAATACGATAAAAATACATACTTTTTATAACTGAGCAATTTTTAGCATAGACTTTAGAACAAGGTTGCCAAAACAATATTTACAAACGTGATGATAATTACATCCGTTCTGAATATATTCTCGTAACCCATTGAACAGATGACATACGTCTTCATCATCATGAAAGATTTTATTCTTAATTGGATTTGAAAGTGAAAATCTTGATTTGTGAGACTATAGCAGACAGACGTAGCTAACATGATCAGAGTATAAATAAACTTGTCATGTGTAATCCTAGAAAACAGTCTCAAAAAGGAGCCCAACTCTTTGATGATAACATTTCTTTTCAAACAGAAGACTTGTTGATTTGACCATGTAAATTTTATGGTACTCATAAAATAATTAATCTGGGTAAAAATACAAGAAATGGAACAATAAGACACAAATGTGATGATAATTTCACAGAAAAGAGCATCATTTTATCAATGTATCTACGAAAAACTATTACGAATTCGAACGAACGATTTTGACGAACATCAACAATAGTTTTGTGCAATGTTAATTAATTATCACAAGACGAACCAGCTTCTTTTGGAGATAAAAGAAGAGTGCGAGTTATCTCTTTTCCCAAGATGATGGTCTAACACAACGTTTCTAAGACCATTATAATGTCTCCGAAGCCTTCAAGATGGCTGCGGCTGAGTTGAAACCATGAAAAAGTTTGTGATTTGTTAAAGAACAAAAATTAAAAATCCGAATCATCTAATACTTTATCGTGGGATAGAATTGTTATCATTCGCTGTTAAAAGTGTACAATGTTTGTTCTTCGACTAGAATTCAAATAAAATATGTTTCCTTGCATTTATTTGAACATTTTCAATTAATTTCGAAAGTCAAAAAGTGTAAAGCATTATATTAATAACTATTACTGTTCGGTAATCACACGGTTGAGTTACTTCAGTGTGCGAACGAAGAAAAGAAAAGTTTTATTTGTACTACGTTGACAAAGCAGACCGAAAACAGTATGAAAAGATCAATCGTAAAATTTTAATTAGTCGTATAACAATATCGCAATATCGGCTGGCATGCTTTAACAATCAGAGATCGGCACAGACCGAAAAGTTCTGGCCCAGGCCCCTCCCCCCCCTCAGCCAAGAAAACTTGAGGCTCAAATCCGGCCCTACTCGATCAATCTTAAAGATGTTCGAGCCCGGCCCAACGATGGAAAGTTGAGGTCCGAGTTCGCTCCGGCCCTTTTCAAGTTTTTACGACGTCCTGCTGATAGCTTTGGCTGACACATTGGTATAAATATGCTTATAATACAACTCTATCATTTATATTTACATGATTTTTTGTTTTTACTTCTTCAACGTTTGTATCCACTAGATGTGCATTTCTGAGAAAACTTAAAGACTGGCTACATCAAAGATAAAGTGGTATTAATAGACTGCTCTTTCTGCTATGCTGCCCAACAAAAGTCTTCGATCCTGCCGGACAAAGAAAATTTAAGGCCCAAATGCAGCCTGGCCCGTGCCGATCTCTGTTAACAACTATTGCACGAAACAACACATTTTTACGTATGCACATTGTTCTTACCACGAAAATGAGCATGCAAATAGTAAAAACTTAATAGTCAAGTGATTACATCAGAATGAAGAATGCAAACATAGATAACGACAAAAAAGGTTTACTGTGAAAGATAAAAAAAAGAATTTATTTAGATGATATAGATTCTCTCTGCTTGCAGTAAACACTACAGGTTGGTAAAAAACACATCACAGATCGTTCTTGAGATTTCAAGATATTTTTGTTCTCGCGACCATTCCTCTCTCCAATCGTCATGAACTGTGACGGATCGATTAGTCGATCAATCAAAAAAAACCTCATCGGTTGTGACTTCTCTAAAATTTTCGGAAGCCCAAGAACCCTCGACGATGTAGAATTATGAATTAGACCAAAAAGATGGACTGAAGCTTTTTTTACAAACGATGTAGAAGAAAGAAGTTTATACGTAGAATTTACGTTTTGCTATAAGTCACAGTATGTGTCCAGAAAGTGCGTCTATTCCATATTTTTTTTTTCATATGTTCTGTTCGAAGGCACATTTCCAGGCGCCATTTCAGAGGATACGTTTCATGTCAACATTTTTTTCGTCAGTTTTGATGCTTTAGTTTTCACTTTTCTCCTCTAGGACTTAGGTATTTATTCTAATACAGTGAGGCCTATGGTATTTAATCTCAGTGGACAAGTAAAACCCAACATCAAGTCCTTGTTCAGAGATTAAAGGACACGAGAAAAGCCTAGTCGCAGTTGTAGTTAATTCGAAATTACAACGAGACTACTACCTCATCGACATTCACACTTCAACGGATTAGTGAGCGAAATGACAAAATTTGATTCGAAGATGGATGTTAGTTACATAGCGTTCGTTACTTTAGCAAAACAAAAGAGGTCAATGAAAATCATGTGCATCACATTGCGACACATCAAATGTGTCTTCGAATAACCATTTGATTCAAATGTCTCAAACAAAGGCACATGATTTATAGACACATTCCAGGACACATATTCTTTTTACAGTGTATTGTTTAGTTTAAAAAATTGTGTCTTTTCTGTAAAGTATGGAAAATCGTGATCGCGCTCTTGGCATACTTTCAAAAAGGTTCATAATTTTTCGGGAAAACATTGTTGAGAATTGCAATGATTTTCATGACATTTGACTCTATACAGGAACATGTTAAACTCAATTTTGAAATTTTTGTTTTTTGATTTTTAGAAAGATGCCTTTAAAGAGAAGAGAAAAAAAAATTCTTATGTTCCTTTCTATCATAGTCATGAGATCTTTTATTATCTTTCATAATTTGAAACAGTATGCATAACTGTTTGTTGTGATGTTGAACTTTTTAATGAAGAAAAAGAAGCTTTTTATAGTTCAGTTAAAATTGCAAACGGGATAAGGAAATAAAAAGTTTTTTCTAGTATTTGAAATTACGTATTGCCGACTATTTCATTTTTATTGAAAATATAAATTATTATTTGTTGAAATATCGTTAATCAAATAATTTTTTAGGTTATATTTATATTGACAAAACATCCAAGCCTCAAAAGCATGGAACGTGATAGTAATTTGAATCCATCAACATTTGCTGGTTGTATTGATCTTGTTAGCGAAAGACTAGGTGGCAAAGTTCTTAGTGCTAGTGATGAATTTTTTGCTGAAAAAGAAAATCTTTTAAAACCGGGACGTGGTATTTTTATTCCGGACAGATATACGGATAAAGGAAAATGGATGGATGGATGGGAAACAAGACGAAAACGTGTACCAGGATATGACTGGTGTATCATCCAACTTGCATATCCAGGAAGAATACGTGGTGTAGACATAGATACAAATAATTTTTTGGGTAATCATCCACCGTATGCATCGTTAGAAGGTACCCGTTTGGATCAAACTAAAATTGATCAAGCAGAGTGGACGGAGATTTTATCAAAATCTCCATTGAAGCAAGGTGAGTTAAAAAAAAAGATTGCTAGAGGTGAAACAGGTCAATTGCTTTTGAACAAATGATGTTAGGATCTGAATGATGAAGAACTTGTGGGATCATCAAATGACATGAGATTTCTGAGAATATCTATACGTTTTATAGGTTCCCAGAATGTATTTTCTATTCAAAGTTCTGAGACATTTACTCATATCAGATTAAATATATATCCTGATGGTGGTGTCGCAAGATTTCGCGCGTATGGAAATATTGTGAAAGACTGGACGGCTATTGATAAAAAGTCACTAGTTGATTTAGCAGCAATTCAAAATGGTGGACGTGTTATTGCTTGTAATGATATGTTTTTTGGTAATAAGGATAATCTGATCATGCCTGGGAGAGGTGTGAATATGGGGGACGGATGGGAAACACGTAGAAAACGTGGTCCTGGCAATGATTGGGCTATTGTTAAATTAGCAAATCCTGGCACAATTCAAGAAATTGAAATTGATACAGCTCATTATAAAGGTAATTATCCAGATCGTTGTTGGATTGATGGATGTTATGAAACAACATTGGATATTGATAATTTAAATTGGCCACAGATCAAATGGCTTCCCATTCTTCCAGAAACAAAATTAAATGCTGATAAACAACACTATTTCAAAGATAAGGATATAATTGGAGATAAAGAACAAATATATACACATGTTCGACTCAATATTATTCCAGATGGTGGCATAAGTCGACTTCGATTACATGGGAAAGCAACATCAAATGAATAAAATCTAATAAGATTAAGCTTTTAAAGAGTAATTTAGTGTTTTTTTGTGAACTAATTCTCCGTTTATCAGTAATAGAACATTTGCCAAATGACTTGTTCTTAGCAAGTACTTGAAAACTTACAACTGATATATCGTTATTAATCATAAGCGTGAGGTCTTAAATCTGGGAAAACAATTCAAAATTCTGTAGGTCCATTCCATGTAACTCTGCTACCGGATGTGTGTGCGCTATCGTTTTTGCTGTTATGGTTTGTATTATAACATTGAAAATAAGCATTGTGAAAATTGGAGAAGCGTTTTTGTTTTATAACTGAATGTGCGCTCTTCACAATCCGCTCTAGGGTTAATGTGAATCACTCGACTTTCTTTACATTGTAATTAATCGTATTTAGAGATTCAACAAAAAACGCCCAATAAATGCTATTCGATTGATATTAAACGGTTTCCTACTGGGTTTTCAATGAGTGTTCTCTAATAAGACTATCAGCTCTTCTTCCGTTTAGAAGAAAAAAGAATGAATACCTCAGAATGATGACACTGTGATAATTGTAACAGCTAAGATTGTCGGATTGAGTAATTAAGGCGCAAGACAGTCTTTCAAGTCTTACCATCATTTTCTTTCAGTTTCTGTACTCTGTTCGAGAGTTGGCGCTATCAAGTTGGACAAGTTATACGTCCCTAAGGCAAAGTTCTTCTTCTAACATAGAACTGCTCTTTTTTTCAAATTTCTTATTGTTTTCTGCTGTTTTATTTATTAGCAAAGTACGATAATTTGCATCAATGCAAAGTTGAGACTAGCAGCATGTATTGTGTCTCATCCATCTTTCGTTGGTTCGAGCTGACCCATGCCATTTTGTTTGAAATGAAGAACGTGTACTCGATGCTAATAATTTCATCCACACAGTTGTTTAGTGCCAAATCATCTATTAGAAGCATGATGTGAAACGATTGTTTCTAAATTACTTTCAGAAACGAAAACAAAGCGAAAAAATTGAGTGGGTAGATGATAAAATGTCTCACTTTCATTAGTGCAATGTGTATCACTTTGAGAAACATGAAATGCATGAATGTCGTTAGATATGATGGGGACTAAAATCCTGATATTTCTGTAAATTATCGTATTTTCTTGATTAGTCATCAACAAAATGAGAAAGCCGTGAAGTTAAATTACCCACGATCATCAGCTTGTCTAATATAGTATAAAATTTTCCCTTACAAGTCGGATAAATTCGTTTATATTCGGCGAGGTACAATTTATGTCTTAAAACTGCTATGAATCGTTCAAAATTTAAAAAGAATTACTTTGAAAAATTCGACCAATATCTTTCTTCGGGATGTCTGTTAACCTGCATCATTATGCTGGTCATTGCTGAAATAGCTAGTTGATTCAAATTATTTTTTCTTGACTTTTAATAAAGAAATCCTTCTGATTACTTTGTTAGGAGAACTGTATAGATCACATTCATTAGATTGGTGTTGTTCAGATTATTAGAGTTGACCTATAACTGTTCATTTTTAAAATGATAATGTTTCTATTCGATTTTCTTCGCATGATCTCTACGACAGTTTGTGTGCATTGTTCGATCCATTTATAGATCCATGAACAAACGACGTTTTTGTACTTAAATTTTGATAGACTTTGATAATAAATAAGACACAAAATAATTTTTTTTAAGCAAGTTGACTACAAGTTTGTAGATGTTTCAGTTATGATAGTACTTTCTTCGATAGTCATACATTAACGAGAATGTTGAACGAGTCGATCTTACTATTTCGACTTCATCCAAACACTGAAAATGATTGATGTCTTAACTCTGTAAAGATAGATTCTGTAATGTAAATATTCATGCAACTCATTTATTCTATCAAAAGTCTTTATTGACAGTTATCGTCTACATCATATCTAATTCGATTGTCTTTGAATTGTTTGTTGTTTATGTTTCGATGTACGTTTAAACAATGTTCCCAGGGCAGTCAATGCGTCAGGTCGCTTTTTACTGTCGCTAACTTCTGATGAAAGTCTTTTTGCATATTGATCGCTTATTTTAACATCACTATGGCGTCTTCGAGTAGTAAAAGTAAATGCTGTTGTAAAATCATATTGTTGGGTGTTAACATCCACATGATCAACTTGTCTTGACTTTACTTGTAGATTTTCTCCTTTTATCTGTAAATCCTTGATAACTTGTTCATTGCCTGTCAATGATAATCGATGTTGTTCGCATGCTTCTATTAACGTCAAATATTCATGTTGAATACCATCACGATTATTTCGTATTAAATGTTGAACTTTGGCCCGTGCTTCTTCACCGAATGAATGAATACGTTGTAGATGAATATTCTCCCATTCATCAATTGCCAACATTGCAGGATGACCATTCGAATAATCGCCATCAGATAATTGTTGCAGTGATTTTATAAAATATTGATATTGTTGTTTAATAGTATATGTTATATAGTCGAGCTCATTGCGATGTTTCAACCAACAAGACGAACAAAAATCTAGATTACAATGAGCACATATTACTTCGATTGGATTTAATAAACACGTACATAATTCACGATCAGATTCACGATCAGATTGAGCAGATACGCCTGAAATTGAACAACGTTGTTCCATGATGATTCGTTTTTATTACAAAAATTAAATAGGAGAAAACTACTTTGTGCATTATGTTTCCTGATGCCGACGTGATAAGATAAGAGAAAGAAAAAAGAGAAAAATTCCATTTCATAAATACTGCCTTCTCGCGTTCTCTATTTTGACCTTTTTGCGGTCAAACGTTCCATAGTCTGAATATCAAAGATAGTTATTTTGCGGAACATTATCATTTTTTAAAAATAATACAAAGTCTATTTGCATGATGATATAGAAATATAATATGAAATGAGGTAAATCATAATTTTGAAGTTGAATATTATTTTTTAACTCATTGATCAAATAAATCATATTGTTTTATGCAAGTTCCTACTGTCTTCGGCAATCATTGCCATGCGAACACTACTTTAAAGTAACTATTTGTGTTAACTGTGATCTTCAGAAATAATTGACTTGTTCTGATGGAGTTTAGATTGTAGGTTACGCCATTGATAACCTATTTTTAACCTAAACGAAAAAAAACCATTTTAAACAACCACATTAAAACAGTCAACATTTTGAGTAATAAAGTGTAGTCCAAGTGGAATTTTATCGATTGAGGATGAAATTCAGACTGAGATTCTCTAGTTTAAACTGAACTATTTTTAAACTGAAAAATAGCACAATCAAAAAAGGAAGTACAGAGAAAAAACTTCCATTTGCTAAAAATCGGTGGCAAATACACAACAATAACAGAATCTTCGTAGCATCGAGAGCCTAAAGTGGAATTCTGGTCTAGTCTTAAGAGGGTCTTCCTATTCAGAAAGCTATTTTCCAAAGATTGCATTAAATCATAAAAGACTCAATCGATTCATTTCTATATTCGTGTAAAATGTGGTTTATTTTGTATAAGCTTACCTTTCAGACGGTGCTTAGATAAAAAACAATAACGATATGGAACAAAGCTGAAGGGGAAGAGGATATCCTGTCTTCATAAATCCAGTTTCATAAATCACACATTTATGAAACTTGTTTCCAAGTTTTATAAAATTTAGGAAACTTGAATATTGAATTTATTAACCCAGAAATTACATAAAAATGAAATAATTTATGAAACTTTTTACAAGTTTCATGAAAAGTTTAATATGACTCTCAGAAAAATATTTTCTTAATTAATTACCACGTGTCTCTTAGAGACCTATTATTGTTAATTAAATTGATTTAATTGATCAATTAAGGTAACTGCATATGTCTATGAGAGACTCACACTTTTAGAATAAAATTTCATATTTTTATTTGAATCAGTCTATGTCTCTAAGTAACTCATACCGATCTTAGTGAGATATTATTATATAATGTTGTATGTCTCTATGTGACATATTAATACTACAATTAATTAAGAAACTAATTAATTGAACCTGAAACAAACTTGGAAATAAGTTTCATAAAATTTAGAAAACTTGAATCTTGAACTTTTTAACCCAGAAGTTATATAAAAATGGAAAATTTTATGAAAGGTTTTACAAGTTTCATAAATGTGTGATTTATGAAACTGGATTTATGAAGACAGGATAATTTAGCTGAAGTTTAGGCTTCTGAAATTAGATTTCGGGAAAAAATTGCAAAAGATTGTATTAGGTTACGAAAAACATTAATAGGTTAGGTAAGGTTTAGGTTGTGAAGATTTTTATAGGTTGGGCTATAGATTGTCAAAAAGTCGTAACCTGCAGGGCTCTAGACTTTACTGGTGTATCAAGTCATTTTTTTTATTCGTTTAGCGGGCTGCGATTGCTGTAGCATCGCCAGCTGTATAGCTGGATACATCTGTAGATACGTCGATCGATAAATTGGACATATGTCCTCAGATGCCGAACGAAACTATCTTATCACTCTCGAACTGTACAGCTCGTTAAATAATTAAAAATAAATCAACTTACCTAGATCATCTAGCAAAATAAACATGCAGAATAACTTGATGCATCGCCTAATGCTAGTTACTTTTTCCATTCTTGGAAAGTTCAAAATTCGAAACTTCGAATGAACAAAATTCGAAAACGTAAGAAATTATACAATGAAATTGATGAGTACCTGAAAGAATTACGAAACGATTTATTAGCTGAAGTAGAATTATCATCTATAAAATGGAATCCAGAAGTGAAAACAATGTCAGGCATATAACTGGTGTGAGTCATATTAGTGGCTATATTTTTTTCTTTTGTACTAGAGGAAAAATTTATGGATTCCAATACGTTGGATATATTTATTTTGGTAAGGTAAAGGTTTACCACTCATCGTGTATACATCTTGTTTTCTCCATGATAACATTCATACTGAAACTTATACATCAAAAGCAGGGAGGAATCGAAAAAAAGATTTTTAGAATGAAGTGAAAGGACATATATGTGCTAAAAATATTTCTTAATAAATTTTGTGACATTCAATACACTTTTGTATTTTTAGAATATAAATCATGAAGTTTGAAGAAATTCTTTTTGTTAGATTTTAGAAAGTCATTACATATGAAATAATCGAAAGTATTTTACGAAAAAAAAATCGATGATATGTATATCTTCTTTGATAATGATAAAACAAAAATAATTGTACAACTTGTATTTCATCCTTTTGTCTTCGTCCCACTTTTGCTTTTGATTCGTTGCAAACATCTTAGCATTTCGGTAGTAATATCCAATTTTGATGAACGAGCAAACGCCTGTTTTATCCGTCGTACACAATCTAATACTTCAGTTGTTCGATACAATGCATCACGTTTTCGACGCATATGAACAATATCTTCCTCATCACCATTTTGATCTATAAACAAAACTTGTAACTTTTAAAAATTATATTTTATGAATACGAAACGTTTTCTAAACGAAGGACGTTTTTTGGGGGCTGTCCTTTTTCGTCCTTGCTCGTCCGGACATCCGACCAAGTGATGGGATGCTCGGAATCGGGTCTATATAGCATAAAATCGTTTTTCTGAATGTTCGGAATAAAAAGTACGGATATTCGTAACAAAACGTGAGGGATTGTTACGAACATCCAGACATTTTTGTATACAAAAAACACTAAAAGGCCTTGGCTTATACTGTTCCGTACACCCAGACGACTTTCATTTCCAACATCCGAATTTTTTTGGTTACTGTTCCGAACATCTGATCTTTTTGCATTCCGATCTTTCGGACTTTTCATTCCGAACATCCGGACTTTTTCAATAATACGGGAGCTCGGAACGGACTACTCTGTCGGATGTCCGTAAGAAAAAGCAAGGACGAAAAGGAACGCGGCCGTTTTTTTTTTATCGAATCAGTTGTTAAATTAACTCATCAGTATAATCTCTCCTCATATCTGCTGAGTCTATTTTCAGTTTAAAATAATAAATACAATATGAAGTATTGGCAAGTGCTGAAGTCTCTATATTCAATCATCTCTTTTATTACATCTTTTTGTTGAAGAAAAAGTCTTATAAATGGATATTAGTTTTATTTCAGTAAACATAACGATGCATTCAATGATGTATTCTCAAAAATGTCATGCTTGTTTTATTGTAGGTCAAACTTGCATATATCTCATAATTGTATTTATTGATACAATACAAAATGTTCTTGATTAATATTTGTCTTCTCAACCAATATTTTTCATTCGTCTATAACAATTTAACATTTCTGTAACAAGATCAAGTTTTGTTCCTTGACCAAAATGTTTCAAACGTCGAATGCAATCAAGTACTTCGGTTGTTGTCCAAAGTGCATCGCGTTTAACATGACGAGTATAACGTGTTAATTCTGCATTATCATCATTATTCTTACTTCGAGTCATCATTGATTTGTCAGCAAATCGATCAAGTTCTTCTAATTGGTCATCAGTCAATGTTTTTAATTGTTCATCTAACCATTCATCACTGTCAGTATTGTACAATGTTGCTGATTGAATAATTATAAATAATAAAGCTAAAATAACGAAAAATGATTTTAAAATTCATATTATAAATGAAACTTTTTTAAGTGAGAGATGATGATGATGTTCTTTATTACAAAAATTGTATTTTGAACTCTCAAAGGATGAACTATCAAAGATGTATGTTATTAATATTAAGATACATCGAAGTGTAGAACATTCTCGATGATATTCTCTACAGATAATAATAAAAATCAACCATATTATTAGATTGTAATATCTTAAAGATATTCTGAATTCATACCGAGAACGATGAGTTTAAAGTACATGTTGATATATGTTGTTGTTGTTTTTTTTTGTATTATTCTGATTTATAAGTATTTTACTGAATAACCAAGAGTTGTCGACTGTTTTTCTGTAGTATAAATAAAAGATGTTTATATATCATAATTATGCTTGTATTTTCTTTTTAATTTCTCCTTTTTTCTAGTAGGAGTTGTATATGAGAATATATGAATAAGAACAGAATAGAAAACCATTCGACACGAATATTACGATATGTTATTTGGACAGAAAAATGTTTCAGTTGTTGTATAACTTGATGAATGATAATGATGTCAGACGCTCAGTCCGTTGTTTTTCCAGTAAATCATTATCTAATAAATTACTTACATTATTCAGAAAAGAAAAGATGAAGAAAAAATGGTTTAATTGAAAATATCGTACGATAGTGTACCAACTTCTAAACGAGTTTTAACAGTTCCATGACCATAGATGTAATGTCCTTTTTCGATTTTGTTTCTTTCTCTCAAGTAACTGGCTTTCTTGCGGATTTCTGGTATTGAGCGAGTGCACCTTTGTTCCACGTACTGTACGCAAACTAGATTGAAAGTACGCTCAGATATACGCTTTGTGCTTGAGTCCAGAGCTTCTGGGAAAAAAATACTCTTTAAGTTTTATAAGGATATATAGAAAAAGAATAGCACTTGACCCCTTGCTATTAACCGGTATATTTTTAGATAGAAAATGAACGTGAAAACACCGAAAAAACCGTTTAAAAACACCCGATAATTTTATTATCCAACACGCAGAAACCAATATAATGACTTTTGAGAGGTCTTTTATGCAGTTATTAAACTTTTTTATGTAGTTGTTAAAGTATGTAGGTTAGAGTAAATAATAAACAACCCACACCTTCTCTTTGTTTTTCTTGCGCGAGTGATTCTAATTTTTAACTTAATTATTCTAAAGGGTAAAAAGATAGAAAAATCTGTCTGGTTCTCTCGCGTTCTTGACGAGGAATCAGTAATTGACCGATGAACAAGATCATAATATTATTGGTTAGAATGATAATCGGTGACCTTTTTAACTTTTCAGTTTTAAATAACTAATGATCAAAATAATGATACAAATCTATGTTTAAGTATATAACATACTCTTGGAAGATCAATTTTACTACAAACCGTAACCTCTTCTCGTTTATAGCACGCCAGGAGCAAATTGAAAATAACATAATAAACAGATAATATGCCAACTTTTCGTTTCTTTTACTTTTCATTTCTCGTTTTTATTCGAATCTGGTAATTAGTTATTTAAAACTGATAAGTTAAAAAGATCACCGATTATCATTCTAACGAATAATATAACAATTTTGCCTATATGCAATTTTTGGACGCATTTCAGAAAATAATGTTTTTCTAAGACAGACTTTCATGCGAAACGCTGATTTTCATACCGCCTTATGCAGAATTTAATTCTGTGCAAAATGGTATAAATTGTGACTTCAATAGTGAAATCGTTTTAACTGTTTCGAATTAACAGAGAACAATGTCATAGGCTATCCGGCAATAGGTTTTTTTGGTGTTTTTACATTTTACACTTCAAAATTTTTCCTCTCAAATATTTATTCTAAAATGTTGAAAACTACATCGAAAGGTGCAGAATTTTATGTAGAATTTCGTGGCACACTTGAAATTTTCAACGGAATCATTTAAAAATATTTCCATAAATTTTTTCGTTTTTCTGGCCTTCGCAGTTGGACTGCTGACTAGGTGCTAATCTTTGAAATTTTGCGCCCACAAGAAAGACTAATTTGAAAAACGCATTCGTCAGTTTTGTAGAAAAATGAATTCCCTATCGATTGAGCTCAAAACTAGATTTCTAGAATTAATAATATAATACTATTTCTAAGTCCGAAAATAGTTGAAAATTCTATTTATCTTTGTAAAGATATTTGTTATGGAAATTGTACTGTTACACCTCCCGCCTTTAGATTAAAAAGCTCAATTTCCAACACAACTGACAATTCACAGAGATAACACCTAACGAGAGTGACTCACTCTCATCTCACATGTGATCAATATAATGAGTTTGCTAACGTTTGCTAAATCACAACCTGAATCCAAAATAAACCAAAATGTTCGACTATGTGTCCTGAATCTATAATGCATGCATAAAAATGTATAAACTTTCCCTGGCTTATCTAGAGAATTTCCAAAAAACCTCAGGTTTTTGAGAGAAAATCCTTATTTTTTTGAAACAAACACCATAGAAGAACATGTAACAAACTTCTGGGTAAAAATACATCATTTTCTTTTCAATGTCCTATCTCAGATATAAATTTCAGCTCGGCTTCCAACAGGATGGAAAAATAGGAGAGAAATGCTAAATGTAGTGAGAAAAACACCAGCGATTTCCTTTGAGACTCTTCTAATTGAATTATGTCTCCTAAGTCCTCCACACAGCTGTGCTGTGTGCGGAAGTCTTAGAAACAAGGATCATTTCAGTAAGTATTCTCCCAGTATTAGGAGCATTGCCAATATGTCCGTGACGTAGCAAGATTATGACATCTCTGGCAATGGCTGATGAAGCTCTTAAACAAAAACAGCATGAATCCAACATCAATAAGAGATGCGCTCTAAACATCTACTGTGCTTCTCGTAATACACAAAAAAAAATCAAAAAAAGCACTTTTATAAAAAGTCGGATAAGTCTTCTCTTTTCTTTTTTGTTCACTCCCGCTTTCCTTTCTTCTCTTCGATCTATCATTAATTGTCAAACACCCTCATCTACCCTGACTCAAACCCTCTCCCTATCATCGAAGGTCATTTCCATGGAATAACCTAGCATTACTTCTCCTAACGGCGCTTTCGAGCAATCACATAATTAACATAATCTTGTTAACGGACATGGGAAGCGAGAGTGAAATCGGGATGTATACATGCAGAAAAACTGCTAAAAAAACCAAAAAAAATTGAATTCATATGCACATATTTGCAGACATCAGACTAGAAAATAAATAGGGCAAATGAAATAGTATCACAGTTGATGATGACCCCTAATGCATCATTAATAATCGGTGCACACGTCAATAAATTCAAACTTTCCTGGTAAATTAGCTGCAGATGTTCAGCAAAACAGACAACTCCCCAGGCCTTCTGTTGACACCTGCCAGATCAAGTTTGTTATCATTGTTGAAATCATCTGATATTACAGAAGATGGACCGATGCTAAACGCATAGTTCATTTGAATCTGAAAGGTTCCATTCCCTTTCCCAGGCAGCACACTGAAGCTATTCTCGGCCACGTCGGCCGCTGTCAGATCCAGTTTGTTATCATTGTTGAAATCATGTGCTATTACAGAAGATGGACTGGTACCAACCGAATAGTTCATTCGAGCCTGAAAGGCTCCTTCATCTTCGCTAAGCAGCAGATTAACGGTATTGTTGTCTGAGTTGGCCGCTGCCAGATCAGCTACCAACCGCATAGTTCATTTGAGTCTGAAAGGTTCCATCCTCTCTGCCCAGCAGCACACTAACGATGTTGTCGGCCACCTTGGCCACTGCCAGATCCAGTTTGTTATCAATGTTGAAATCACGTGATATTAGAGAAGATGGACCGATACCAACCGTATAGTTCATTTGAGTCTGAAAGGCTTCTTCACGTTCGTCGAGGAGCAGGTGGCTACCGAAGGTGAAGGAGCCTTTCAGACTCAAACGAACTATGCGGTTGGTAGCGGATGTGGCAGTGGCCAACTCGACCGACAATACCGTCAGTGTGCTGCTTGGCGAAGGTGCCTTTCAGACTCAAATGAACTATACGGTTGGTACCAGTGCATCTTCTGTAATGTCACATGATTTCAACAATGATAACAAACTTGATCTGGCAGCGGCCAACGTGGCCGACAATACCGTCAGTGTGCTACTTGACAAAGAGGATGGAACATCAGTGTGCTATATTACAGAAGATGTACCGATACCAACCGTATAGTTCATTTGAGTCTGAAAGGCTCTTTCACCTTCGCCAAGCAGCAGACTGACGGTATTGTTATCTGAGCTGGCCGCTGCCAGATCAGCTACCAACCGCATAGTTCATTTGAGTCTGAAAGGTTCCATCCTCTCTGCCCAGCAGCACACTGACGGTGTTGTCGGCCACCTTGGCCGCTGCCAGATCCAGTTTGTTATCATTGTTGAAATCATGTGATATTAGAGAAGATGGACCGATACCAACCGTATAGTTCATTTGAGTCTGAAAGGCTCCTTTACCTTCGCCAAGCAGGCTTTTTTAGTTTATTCGTCGAATATACGTTATCACAAAGCGTTCGGACTCATTTATCGCATGAGAGCGTGGGTAGTTAAAAGTCCAAAAAGGGCTGTAGGATATCTTTCAATGAAGGGTTTATTAGTCTCATACTTAATATTCGGTCAAGATTTACTTCTAAACGATCTCAGTATAATCTAGGTTTTCTATGTTTCAAGAGACGAACGGAGGTTGCTGAGTCGTTCAACAAGTTGAAAATGTGGAAATGTGGTGTGTTTTGGACTGACGAGAAATCGCAAAATTTAATTTACCGCACATTATGTGCTAATGTTACTTACGAGGGAACATATCGAACTGTCAAATCGCTTTCGAGTCTAGAGGACTATAGGTAGTCGATCATGCTAATTCCGAATATGATAGCGGTTTGTCCCCATAGGCCTTTCCTAACTGGTTTCTGAAAAACTAGTTTTCCAGAAACGTCGAAAAATCTCCAATGGTTTTTCTAAGTAAGTCACAACTGTGGCCCGCGAAATTCTGATTAAAATGAGACATCTCCCAGCTCTACATGACCTTTCTTTGCAAAGTTATATAATTCCCAAGAAAAGCCCTAAATTCATCTTTCCTTCTTAATTCTGTAGCTCTGAGGTGACAATAAACATTTAGGGCCTTAGTTGTGAATTCTATAACTTTGCAAAGAAAGGTCATGTAGAGCTGGGAGATGTCTCATTTTAATCAGAATTTCGCGGGCTACAGTTGTGACTTGCTTAGAAAAAACCATTGGAGATTTTTCGAGGTTTCTNAGGTTTCTGGAAAACTAGTGTTTCAGAAACCAGTTAGGAAAGGCCTATGGGGGCAAACCGCTATCATATTCGGAATCAGCATGATCGACTACCTATAGTCCTCTAGGCTCGAAAGCGATTTGACAGTTGGATATGTTTCCTCGTTAAACAAATAGAAGTTTTGCTGCCTAAGACGTTACACGGAAATCCATGAATGGAGAAATTTACTGAATGTTGGGTTTTCATTAGTGTTGATGTTTGCGCGTAAGGAGCGTTAGAATGCTAGAACGTGCAATGTTTTTGCGCCCTGTACCCAAAAAGCACACCTGCAGATCTTGATCCCAAAACAGAACCGACAATGACTGCCACGATGAACACAGTCATCAGTAAGCTGATTGGAATGATGAAGCTCTTCTTTTGATACCAGTGACGTCTTGTAAATGTGATGAAAAGT